GAGGCTTGTTTTGGAGTCCTACGATAATTTTCAAGAGTGATGCTCAAAGTGACAAGGAACATGTACGGACTGAGGCACTTCAACGCAAGGGGAGCGTTAACCTCAAACAAGAAATTTGACGTGTCCGGCTCAGCCATTCTGAGCCACAGAGGGACAGCCAGTGCCCAAGGCATTGGGCCCCTCGAGTAATTCACGTGACAGAGGGTGCCCGTCTCTTCTCTGAGCCCGCCGGAGTGGTGTCAAGCAAAATGAGGCTTGGTTGCTTAAAAGAGAAACCATGAGAAACCCGACGAAATCGTGATCCTATCTTGGGGTATGGAGGCGCACGGCATGTGGCGGAGAGCATGTGTTCGTGTCTGTTTTGGGACTCCCTTGGTAGATTCAAAAAGACAACTACTGGGAAGGCCATCATTATTGACGTAATTTAATTTTCCCACTGCCACGAAGAGCCTCAATTTCTGACAAACAAAGCTGGTGCTCGCAGCCTCCGATCAAGTTCGCCCCGCATCGAATGTGTCACCATGTGACAACCCTGACCTCCTCCGACCCCTGCTCAACCCCCAGCACAGTACATGCCTAGTACATTCCTGATATGTCCTCTTAAAATAAGCAAAAAGAGTGAATTCTGGGGAGCCACGGTACTTTTGAAACATTCTACAGTTTTCCAAGCGTTGTTTTTGGTTTTTGCACGCTTTGTGTGCCTTGGGAAATCCCTTGAATGATGATATATAGCGGTGTCACGATGGGAATCCACTAAGTTCACGGAAAGGGGCCCATTTTCTACAAGGCTCGTTGCCAGCAACCTGTTCGGAATGCCAAGAATTGTTAACAGATCTACAAGGATTGTCAAGTCTGTAAGGATTGTGGCCTTGAAATGCCTTGCAGGCCTCTCAGCGAATCTCCAAGCCTCCGTGTGGATCTTAGCGTGACAGCTTGGAAAAAGACTGCCCGAGGCTCGACTGCCTGTCCCCAGTTTCAAAGTTTTTTTGGGGTTTGGGGGTAGGCCCTGGGTGTCCTTTGAAACCCTTGAAACACGCCCAGCGAAAAAGCAGGCTGTGAGAAGCCCAGGGCGAATTTGCGTCGTTGCTCTCCTGGCCCTGTGTCCACGGACTTTGGTAGAAACATCCACCTTTACAAAGCGGATGCGGATTTCATTTGACTTCAAGCATGCTATTGTTTTTCATTTCGATGACTGTCATTTTGCATGTCGATGACTATTTGTATCTGGATATTTGACGTGGTACACAGGCTGCTTTGCACCTACTTGCTTGATGGCTACAATCTCAGGCGCGCCAAAATCCCCATGTTGAAATTTGGGAGTGACGCTGTCCGGAAAACCCAGCAACTCTTTCCCGCAGATTTCTGATCGACCTGAGCAAACTTCTGACCGACGGTATGGTCCATTGTTGAGGGGAAACTCTGGCCCAAAAAGGTGCCTGGCGGCTGCCGGGGTTGCCAAGGGCTGGGGGCTGCCAATTGGCGCAACAACCAGACCCTGGTCCTTTGCAAAGGGAACCCAAAGGGAGGTTGTTTATGCGATGGTCGAACACGTTGAGAGGCTCTGTTGCCCAACGTCCAAAATTGTGAGCCCCCTAGACCGGGTTCTTCGGATAGCCACAGTTTGACTTGACTTTGAGACTGGTCAAACTTGCCACATCACAACCTGGGTAGATGAATGGGGGCAGTCCCCTCGCCAGAATGCGCGGCTTTCCGGTTGTTTCCTTCATGGTTTTGGATGCCTTTTGGTTGTGATGCGTTTGAAGGTGACAAAGTTGAAGACCTGGAGAAGCCCAAGGAAAGCGTTGGTTGCAACGTTCCTTTGAGACTGGTTCAATGGAAGCATTTGTTTTGTTCAGCCCTTGGCTGTTCGAGGAGCCTTGACCTTGAGACAGAGCAGGAGGCAGGTCTGATGATCGGAATTTTTGAGAGCCCATACATGTTATTCGTTTTCAACTGGTGGATTTCGCCTGTCGACAGTAGCTTGATGCTCTGACTGAATGGCTTAAGGAAACCCAAAAGGACATAGCCTTGTCTTGAGAGGATTTTTGGGCTGGCTTTACAGTGCGAAACCTGTATGCATTCACACACTGCTTGGCCCCGCTGCGCAGGGCCCTTGAGCGATACGGAAAAGGCGTGAGCAGCCGCTGTACGGTGTTGTTCTTTAGGAACCAGGCTCCGCAAGCGAGCGATCCTGGCTTGTGAATCATCCATCTCGCCTTGGTAGCGCTGCGCCACGCGCCCATGGAAGCAGATGATCATCACGCGGACGAAGATGACGAACATCCGGAGGAAGACGAGGACGACGGCTACGAGCCATAGGACTATGAAGAGGAAGCCGAGCAGGACGACCCGTACTACGAGGAGCAGCCGCTCCAGAAACCGGGACATCGGCCTGGCAAGAACGGTCCTAAGACCAAAGGCCAATCCTCTTCGGCAGATGGAGCCGATCGGAAGGACAAGGACTCACCCGGAGGACAGCAAATTGTCTTACCACGTGGCAGTTTGCCACAAGCTCCGTCCTGCGACGGCGAGCCCTAAATTCTTGCGGAAGTACCTCGGCAGGGTGGACGCCATCGCCCAGAACATCATCGAGGACGCGGAGGTTGGTCTCAGACCTCCCGCACGTTCGGCGTGGAGAACGGGTGGAAGGTTTTGCTGCAGGTGCTGCGGGAGAAGTTCGATGAGAAGCAAGCGCGAAAGGGTTCCTCAAGCTCAACTTGGCCGATGGATGGGAATTTATGATGTCCGACGTGGCCGATGCCCTCGGGGGGGCAGCCAGGCGTTGCTGTGAGGCAGGTCTGCGTATCCCGGACGAGAGATCATGACTTCTTCTTCAAGCATTTGCAGGCCTCTTCCGAAAGACTGGCTAATCTGCTACTTCGCATCTACGCACAGCAGCACCGCGCTTCCCCCACAAAGTCATGATCAACTAGATCAATGGTGGGTGCCAGAATCCGAGTCCCGCTGGCTAGCGGACTACGCCGAGCAGATCGCGGAGACGGACTGCGACCGCTGCCCGAGAGCCTCGCTCCAGAGCGCGCAGTACTCTTCAACGCGCACAGAGAGAATCGGAACAAGCTGGCGAAGCTGCGCAGGCTCAAGGGTTCTATGCCGCCGGCAAAGGCGACAAAGGCAAGAAGGGCGACGGCGAAGGCAAAGGTAAGGGTAAGGGTGGACGGAGCCGCAGCGTCACAGTTTGCGCGGAGTGCGCGGACAGACCAGGCGCTGGAGGAACGATTCCGAGCGCCGCGAAGCAGGCCCAAAGCTAGCAGATCGAGAGTCGCGAGCCACGTTTCAGAAGCAGGAGGCTTATCGCCATTGATCCGACAGCACCACCAAGTCAAGACCATGAAGGAAATATTAGATGACCGTGATAAGCCGTTGAGAGAGTCCACCTCCATCCCATAGACACCTTTGTGAATCATTGCATTCTCGGCCTCGTGAATCTTCGGTCGACCGTATGGCTTGTGCGTCGGGCGCGCTCGGCGTCGCAGAGAACCTCACAGGATCAAGTTCCTTTGGCGTCCGCCTCAGCAGCCGAGAGTCCGTTGTCTCCGGAGCGTGGCGCAGACAAGGCCGCACTTGCGTCCGCCTGGGCTGCCACCGTGGCTGATCCGCTGGCCAGTTTGGCTAAATTGACAGCGGCAAGGTTGCTGGAAGCTCCTCCGCAAACTGCTCCGACTGCACCATCGCCTCCGCCAGGCTTGGGCCGTCCATTGCTTGATCACTTAGAGCTTCATCACCGTGGCCACCATAGATGCCCATGCTTCTCGTTTCTCCTTCTGAGCTTCTTCTCACTCTGCGCGAAACGCCCCAACTCTGACCAGGACGGGTCCGCGGCTAAGCAAGGTTGGTTCGTCTTCAACAACGACATCGCCGGATGTCTAGCGCCTTCCAGCCGGAAAGAAGCGCTGCCGCGGCATCTTCGGCCTGGCCAACTCACGTCTTTTGAGGAGATTTTTGAGGAGATTGAGAGACACCCGTCAATCCTTCAGTCCAGCAACCTGTGCATGTTCTACCTGTAACGTTTTGTGCTGGCGCTTGGAGCGCATGTAGATGATCTGATCGGCAGTGGTGAGCCAGGGCCAGCCGATGCAGCTGTATGGCGGGGCAGCCAGCGGTCAAGAGCCTCATGGTCATTACAAGCTTCTGAAAGAGGCAACGTCCGAGAAATGGGCGCTGACCCGCTGGACTTGGAGACGGCCCGCTGTGACGTACACTGACGCGTCGGGCAAACGGCGGACGAGTTGAAGTCGCATGCCCGCCACTTGACCTGTGTGGCCGGGGAAGGAGTGCGAAATCCTGGAGACCGCTTTTTAACGGAGGTCGTTTGGGCCAACCTGCTTAAAAATCCCACGCGCCCGAAAGAATCCCATGAGCAATTCTAGCCGTGCAAATCCGTGAAGAAGCTGCAAAAGTTCAGAATATGACCGTGAGAATCTGTGAAGAGGCCACAAAAGTCCGTGAAACTCGTGAAAAACATCTTTGGCTGTCCCGCGAAGCCGCGTCTGTCCGTGAATGAGGTCGAGAGCGGTGTGTCCGCATTATGATTGTGATCAAATCAGCCTCCAGGGTCTGCGCGCATTCACACACCGCTTGGCCCCGCTGCACAGGGCCCTTGAGCGATGCAGAGAAGGCGTGAGCCTCTGCCATAAGCCCTTTAGGAACCAGGCTTCGTTAGGGTTTTCTAGAAGCTCACCGTGAACAAACCGCATGGGGCCGGAGACATGCCCCGTTGTTGCTTGCAGGCAGCGAAGCTAAACGTTTGCTCAAGCGCTGGCGTGCGTGCAAACACTGTGCTTGCGACGACCGCCCGCTGACAAGAGCAAAAGGTCATGTGCTCACTTTGTTAATGATGCAGGGGGTGCTTAGAGCGGTGTTCAGTCTGTTTCAGTGGCTGAGCTGTCATGCCAGAACTGCGCTTGCTGCTCATGGTTCTGGGAAATACCGAAGTGACAAAATCGCCCAAGAATCCTAGGGATCTGCGTGCGACTTGACAGGAGAGCGCAAATGAGCTCGAGGCCAAACGAGCCGGGGACGCCAGACTCCGTGCGCGGGTCCGCGATATGCTGCGCTGCTCGGAGATGCGGGAGGTCTCTTGGCAACAGTTCGTTACAGATAACAAGAGGACAAGACACGGAAGCCATTTGTTGAACGAACCGGTTTCTGGCGGCAACGGAGACAGCTGCGCTGGCATCAAGAACTGCGTCAAGCATGGGTGTGTTTGAAGGTGCTCCTCGACGTCGGTCTGAGAAATCAAAGGTAAAACGGTTCCCTTCATTCTGATAGTTCCCGTTGTCAGCGCACCATGAAGCTCAAGTTCACAAAGGCTTCAAGACTTCTGCTTGCAGCTGTTGACTTCCGTTTCCGCATTCCAAGGCCAAAAGCAGACAGGCCGTGTCTGACCTCTGGTACAAAAAGGACTCATGTGTTGGTGTGGGACAGTCGAAGATGTCACAAACGCCTCATTTCGAGCAGGCGTCATTTGGAGCAGGCGCAGGCCGAGCTGTAGTGAAACAAGCAGGGCAAGTAGCAAGCGTTTCACATGACGAGTTGTGACACAAGTGGGTTCGAAATATGCAAGATGAACACACATCGTGAGACTATGTAAAAAGACCTAGCCATGGAAGCGATCGGGTTGTAGAGCAGTTTGATCTAATTTGTCTGCATGTGAAGGCTGTGAGGCCGCAATCAGCATGCGGCCTTTCAGAAGAGCATGCGGCCTTTCAGAAGAGGGGTGTGAAACAGATAGGCGTGCGAGGGCGCACCGGGGAGGAGGAGGGCGGGGAGGGGTGGTTGGGGGTGGCGTGGACAAGGATACCTTGGCCTGTGTTCTTGCGGGCGCCTGATGTGTTTTTAGAAAACACTAATGGAGTCCCACAGTGTGAGATGCGCCTAAGACTGTGAAGGGTAGTCCCGCGGCGCTTCAAAGTTGCAATCGTTTGCTGTCGGTGTGCCAAGCTTAAGTCCGTCAACAGAAGCTGGGGCCCCAGGAGAAGACTGACTCTTGGCGACTTCCCAAAGAGGCAGAGGCGAGGGCGCTCAAATTGGCCTTCCCGAAAGTTGATGTTGGCCATTCTCTAGCAAGGGTGTCCTGGTTCCGCAACTGCAGGAGCCTGCGCGCGGCTCTGCTTTGATATCTATATATTCACACATACTATGTTTCTTGTGTACTTGAAGCGCAAGCCTGTGTATGAACCAACTCGCTAGCTATAGGCTGATTGATGTACAAACATGTAGCGGTTGCCGCGCGAAGCGCAAGCTCAGGAGAGGCTGTATCTTAACACCCCCCTCCCAAACTGTGCTAAGCATCTAGTACATTTTGAAACTTAGGTAGGCTGCCTCGGGGATTATGTGGACCACACACTCTTCTTAGTTCTGTTGCTTGGTTTCTGTTGGTCTTCCCGAAGTAGATGTCTACAACTTGTACCATCTTGTTCTGAACGTGCTGGCCTAGGTGTCCACATAGCATAATCTCCTCTCTGTCGCTGGCCGGGATCGTGTTCTCAAACAAGGTCATGTGTGAGAAAAGAATCTGAGGATGTTCAGCTTTCATGTGCTTCATGACCCCAACCCTGTGCAATCCAGACACTGTGAAACCGTTGCGTGTAATCTGTCAGCGGCATCCTGTGCTCGGACGCTTTTCGTCACAGGTAGCTCGGTTGCTCGCCCACATGCGTCCAGCCTTCCAGTGTTCAGCTTGCCTCTTGTGTCCGAGGTGCGCCTGCAAACTGTGTCCTTGCCAAGCCAGATCCCGTTGTGGAATCCTGGCTCGGGCTTTGGAAATTGTTTGACTGTAGGTATCGTGTTGCACCGTCCCACCAAACTCACCTGTTGAAGTGGCTTGCGGGTCCCTCGCTGTGGACCGCATGTCCGTTCATGACGCACGCGCTGTGTCAAACTATCCAGGGCATGCGGCATGAGTGGGTGTTGCATTGGGATGTCTCTGTTGTTCTGCCTAGTTTTGAGAGCTCTGAATTGTCCAAACAGTGCTCGTTCTTTGTGCTTGCTCAACTTCTCCTTATGATTGTGAGCTGTATGCTCCTGAGTTTTCGCTGCGTATTCGGTTGTAGCCCAGATTGGATGTCAATAGCTGTGAGAATTGGACGCACGATGCTGTCATCAAAGCCTTTGATGCGCCCGCAGTCGAGCTGTGTGATGGGAAGCTTGCTGTCTTGCTCTCTTACTTGTGAGCATATCGGACACCAACTCCTGTATGGAAGGTGTGCGGTGTTGTGCCCCAGTGTCTCTTTTTGGTGTTGGTTGCTGTGATGCTTGTACTACCTTTGCTTTTGCGCCTTACTGTTGTTCCTCATCATCCGGCCAGTTGTGTTGGAAATCATCGGTGTTCCTCAAAGTTTGTCCAGCCTGTCCAATGCTTGTGTCTGGTTGAGCCGCTTGGTGTCTGGCCTGCTCTGTGGCTCAACGTGTACTCTCTTCCAGTAGTCTCCGCCACAATATACTTCTGAAGGATGTGGTAGTCCCTTTGGTGGTGGGTGCTGCTGCTGACTTCTGTGTTGTTAGTGGTGTTGTTTTCTCTTTCAATCTTGCGCGGGTTTACCGAATCACAAAACCTTCTGTGGTGCTCTTTGGCTGTGTCTTTGTTGCCAGTTGTTGCTGCGGTGTCCTAGTAGTGTTTTACCTTGTCTTGATCCTGAAAACTGCTTCTCCTTTCCACATCTGTTGCTTTGCTTCGTGCGGGTTGTCCATCGTTTGATACTTGTCATCAAGCGTGCATGTTGCACCATCCTTGAATGTGATGGTTGGTCTTCTGTAGTTTGTTCTTTGGGGGTGGTTTTGATGGTGTGAAAAGTGTCTTCCGTTCTAAGAAGCTTGCCTTTTGTGTTGAATTGCCAATAATCTCTTGTGTGCCCTGTGTCCGCAGCGCCTGGTGGTGTGAGTGTTGTAGTCGGTGCTATCGCGCAGGTCCGACCTTGCAGTGTGCTGTGTATCTGTAGCTTTGTTCCTGATGGGAACGCTGTGATTTCTGCTTGTAGGAAGACCAGGCCGTCTCTGTTTTCCAGCAGCATGCTGAATCCTCTGTTGTGCTGTAGTCTTGGCTTGTCATTGAGTGCGTGTCGGAACCTTGCTACACCAGTTGTAGTCCTGTTCCATGTTCAAGTTGCTGTAGTGGAGACTGTGACGCGAGCCACGGTGGAAGCGTGTGTACACCGCTGTCAATCAGAAGGCGGCTCATGTGTTGTCTTCCGTATGTCGCTGTGCTGAAAGCGCGCTTTGCGAGTTGGTTTCGCCTCTAACTTGGACCAAGCAGGATTCGAGCCCGGGGCTGCTCGCTTCCGCGAGCAGTTGTCTCGCGCAATCCACGAGACAGACGTTCAGGCCCGCGCTAGACAAAAAGCAATATACTAGCATTTCGTGCGATCGACCGTGCCAATCTACTCAGAGGGCCGCGCGCGCAACGCAAGAGTCGAACTGAGTCTTCAGTTCTTGCACAGTGACCACGCCAATCCCCGCACAGGGTCGCGAACTCGTAAAAAGTCTCACGTCGGACACGCGAGGGCCACGTGCGCGCGCATCAGGAATTGTAATTGTCCACACCGACACGTCAGTCCCCGCTGAGGGCCGCGTGGGCATGTTAAAGATCGTAACAAGTCCCCAGTTTTCGCACATCGGCCACGCCAGTCCCCGCAGAGGGCGTCATGTTTGCAGAGCGGGCTCGGTCCCACCACGCCGCCGCAAGGGACTAACTTTTGACTTTCGTCTTCACATGTCTCGTCGCGCGAGCTTTCTCGTGCTAGTTGGCTTGTGCAAGTTTTGCTGCGCTAGCTTTCTCGTGCAAGTTGGCTCGCGCAAGTTGGGCTGTGCGATTTCTCGTGCAAGTTGGCTCGTGCAAGTTTGGCTGCGCGATCTGTCTCCTGCAAGTTAGCTCGTGCAAGTTTGACTATGCGATTTCTCGTGCGAGTGGATTCGTGCAAGTTTGGCTGCGCGATGTCTCGCTCAAGTTGCTCGTGCAAGTTTGGCTGAGTGTTAAGGCTGAACCCTTGGCAATGATGTAAGAATTACAAGAAAAGGTGCTCAAGGAAAACCAATGTAAACAAATAAGCTAGAAGACAGGTGGCCCGAAACTATTAGCGCGGCGCACGCGCTCGTGCTCTAGGGTTGTTGCTGCGCACCAGTGCTTTGCGCAAGCTGCTCTGTGAAAGTGCTCTGCGCAAGCGTGCTGCGCGAGGTGCAAAGTGCATGCTGCTTTGCGCAAGTTGCCCTGCTCTGCGCTTGCGAAGGTGTGCTTGCGCAAGTTGCTCAGCGCATGCTGCTCTGTGCAACTGCTCAATGCAAGTTGCCCTGCGGAAGTGCGCCGCGCAAGTTGCTTTGCGCAAGTTGCTCTGCGCAAGTTGCTCTGAGCAAGTTGCTCGGCACAAGCGATCTGTAGCAAGTGCGCGAGCTGCTCTGCGCAAGTGCCCCTTGCAAGTTGCTCTGCACAGGCCGCTCTGCGCAAACCTCTGTGCAAGCGCTCTGCGCAAGCTGCTCTACACAAGTTATTTTGTGCAAGTTGCTCTGTGCGAGTGCTCTGTGCAAGTTGCTCCGTACGAGATGCTCTGTGCAAGTTTCCCTGTGCAAGTTGCTCTGCCCACTGCTCTGCGCAAGCTGCTCTGCGCAAGTTGTGTAGTGCAAGTTGCTAAATCTTTCTTCACCAAAGACAAGCAAACCAAAGACAAGCAAACTCTTGAAGCTCTCCAAGCATCAAATAGAAGCAGTTCAAGCCGACGCGCAGGGATGCTTGTGGAGTGGTTGCCCAGGAGGAGGTGTTGGTTGTGTGCTGATCGCAGCAGCACTTGGCTGCCGCATCCATCACACGCAAGCACAAATGGAAGCCGACATGCAGGGAGCTATTGGGGTGATTGCGCAGAGGGAGGTGTTGCTGGTGTGCTGTTCACTGTCGCACGCAGCACTTGGCTGCCGCATCTGTCAAGCTCTTCAAGCGTCTGACGCAAGCAAATGGAAACCGGCACGCAGGCATGTTGCTCAGGAGGACGTGTTGCTTGTGTGTTGGCCCGAAGTTGCTCTGCGCAGGTCGCGGTGTACAAGTTCCTCTGCGCAAGTGCTCAGCGCAAGTTGCTTTGCGCAAGTTGCCCGGCGACTCTGCGCAAACTGCTCTGTGCAAGTTGCTCCCCGCAAGCGCTCTGTGCAAGTGGCTTTGTGCAAGTTGCTCTGCGCAAGTGCCCTGCGCAAGTTGTTCTGCGACATTCCAGGCGGAGCTGCGGGGTTGTGCTTCGCGCACTACTTTCGTACTTACAAGCTGCGACTTTCTCACCGGAGCTGCGGGAGTGTGCTTCGCGTACTACTTGAAAGCTACGATAAACTCGCACGGCGCCACAGCGAGAGCGCTTCGACACGCACGATTCGCGCACAGGAATCGCCGAGTGCTTTGCAAATTCGCACGGCGCCATTGCCTATGTATTTCGCTGCGCATTTCTCTGTGCGCTTTTCCTGAGCGGTTTGCCTATGCATTTCGCTCCGCATTTCTCTGTGCACTTTCCCTTTGCAGTTTGCCTATGTATTTCGCTACGCATTTCTCTGTGCACTTTCCCCGTGCAGTTTGCCTATGAATTTCTCTGTGCACTTTCCCGGTGCATTTCGCTACGCAGGCTGTTTGGCACGAGCCGCTGAGCAGTTCAGCCTTTTCTGCATTTCGCCATGTCAACTGGGCCCTCAGACAGCCACTGCACAGAAGGAAGAGGCATCACCCTGCTTCAAGCACTGAGCATTTCCTGGCTTGTAAAATTCAGTTCGTGCTACGCATCCAATGTGCTGGAACTGATGGACATGGATCCCATCAGTTGGAGACCTCTCAGCACGAGAGATGATTTCCAGGCTCTTCACACGCGCCCTAGCAACTCCAAGGCCTTCGATATTGAGACGGGCGCTTTTGTCAACCTTCCCTTTTGAGGACACGCCCATGGTGGGCATTGGAATGCTACAGCAGAAAGAAGCATTCCGGCACCTTCCTCCCCAGCATGAATACTTTCTGGATGCATGTCTTTTACAGCGTTGACTTGCAGGCAGTCAGCTC